TCGTTATTGAAATAATAAAAAATATATTTATAATATAATCGTATATTATATGATTTATCTATACTTAAATGGATGAGGCGGCCAGCGTTCCCTGAATAAAGCGCTAGAGTAATATCGCGCTTTTAATAACTGTCTGCAGCTGATTGAGCCACGATCTTTTTGTCTGCCCTTTTGCATACGGCTTTTAAAATAAATAAATATGACATTTCACCAATCGGCATGCAAATATGCCATAATTTTTTTCATTCTTCAAATTTCGGTTTTTAATAATTTTTAAAATTTCATGCCTCTTTCGCGTTCTCTGTCGGCATTTTAGCGACTAAAAAATGTCTGCCAACAATTTTCCACGTTTCTTAATAATAAATAAAAGCTATATTCGCAATTATAAGTCATGTATCTTATAATATTTTTAGTGTCAAAATTTCACCCTTTCGATTGGCCGCCCCCGCTTTAAGTCCCGGGATCGCGCTGGCAGACATGACTATTTCATAATAGATACACAAAAGGATACTTCACACAAAAAATTAGCCATGTAACAATAATAAGGTTTTTTTATGTAGATTATAATATATATATTATTATAATATATATATTATAATATAATATAATATATATTAGATTATAATATATATATATTATTATTTATTTATTTTATATATTTTTTCTTAGATTATAATATCTATAATTTGTAGATATTAGGTTAGTTTTAGTCATCTGCTGATGACGCCAATATAGTTAGCAAAATGCTCGTCCAGTGCAAAAGTAAAGTGTTTGATGTATTGTGGTGAATTAGTGTTTTAACTTTCTTTACTGCTGACTTAATGATCATTTTTGTAAGATTAGACAACGCCATTTTTATTTAATGTATTATTTATGTTTAATGTAGTTTCGGGACTTTTGTATAAACAAAAAAAGGGTGTTAAATAAATATATCTATGATCTTATAGTATCTTGGATAAATGTATTGTCTATATTGCTTCTGTCCAAAATACTAACTTGTGAAAAGTTATGTTTTCATTTTTAGTTGTAAATTCCACGAACAATCCACGTAAGGAAATACAAATAAAAGAAAATTGATATAGAGAAAAACTAAACGGCGTAAATAGGAATTTAATTTAATAATGAATAATGGACAAGAATATAGGTCATATGGAACAAATATATAATTTGTACGCCTATCATGGCATTATTTTTACTGGTTGATTATTATTAGTGAGATAATAAAATAATAATAAACTTTTTTTATTTTCAAGTACCTTATTTTTATTTTGATAAATTTCTTTTGTTTGCAAGATTTTTCTTAATCACCCTTACATCTACATATAATCCGATAGGGATTTCCAAATTACAAATTAATAGTTATACAAAATCTTCAGGATTACCAATAATGTTTCATTTAATTTCACAAAAAGGCCAATTATATGTTTACAACGTAATTTCGTATTATCTCGACGAGCTTGCTATTGATTATATATATTTAATCTTCGATTGATTCATACATTAATAAGAATTAATTAATATCTAAATATAAATCCTTTAACTATATGTATTGTTAAGCATTTATGTCCCGATAATTTTTTTTGGAACTTTTAAGACCACATAAACAGTATTTTATGTTCATGTAGTTTAAATTATTTCTCCATAGATATGTATAAACTATTGACTATAAAAAAAGTATAGAATAAATTTTCAAGAAAGAAGACGGAGAGAAGAGCCAGCGGTTCTCAAAATGTCAGCGAAAAATATATTTTTTTAATTTTCAAAGTAAAATATCTCGATTATTTTGGACTTATTTGAAAAATGATTAAGATAAAATATGTTGTTTTTTTTATCCTGATCTACCTGCCCTAAAAATATTTGCACATATTTAAGACTTGCTCTGTATATATCATATCTACATATTTTATATATATCTTATCCACACAATATAAGTACCGACGGACGGGCGGCGGCGCGGGGGCGCGGCGCTACTGTCGAAAATACCAAATTGTGGAAGGATATTATGTTTATACTTTTGTTGTAAATTTCTCAAATCATGCACTTTATATAATCCATCAGACATAATTGTTATGTCATCCTGATAAAAAAATATTACAATGTTTAAGCACAGAATTTTCACAAAAACACATATAATGAAATTTAAAAATGTAATTTATCAAATAATATAGCGTTTAAGAAATAAATATCAACCTAGCATTTTCTGTTTACATCTGGTAATTTGTGTTAGATGATAACATGTGTTAATGAAAACAACCCAAAAGAAAACTAGAATTGACAGAAAAATTATAATAAAACTTTTAATACAAAAGGTTTTGAACTCTAAATAAGTTTGACTTAAAGGCAAGCTTTCTCACATACATACACTATCCACTTAGATAACATATGAAAAGAATGGGCGGAAATGGAATCAACTATTATAAAAAGCTGTGGATAAAATAGAACGCATTATATGCCGACATGGACCAGAAGTCTGCAAGAGACTATACATCTTGAAAAAATATATTGCACACAATGATATGGATGCTGCAATGGAGATCACGGCACTTATACACTCACCGGCGCGAAAAACGGGCACCTTAAAATTTTCATATATTTTAAAGTTTTATAATTCGTAGCGAAATTCTCCTTCTAAATTGAAAATAAAAATTGCCATCTGTCAATTATAAGAGGAAAAACAAAATGTTGATAATTTGGTAAAAGTTTGAAACCAACCCTGTGGAGTTACTCAAACCTGTAGAGTACGTTAACAAAGCAAGGAATTTAAAAATCATTGTACCGGGTGGCCAACTAAGAATGGACACCGGCTGTATCTCAGAAACTACTTATCGTACAACTTTGGGTAAAAAATTCTAATAAGTAAATCGACCAAGAGAAATCACTGGAAATTATTTTCAAGTTCGAAAAATGTCCGCTAGAGGGCGTTTCTCTGATAGCCAATCAGAAAACAGGGGTTTTCTAAAAAATATGCTGGTGAACAGGTATTTTAAATATTACTATTATAATCATCGAGAAATTTGTAATTTTTTTTATATATAGCACTTTGCTCTATCTCATAAAATAAAGTGGTGTGGGAAGGTTAAATTTGCTTTTATTAAAATAAGAATAACTCTGGTTTAGGTTACCCGATTTAAACAAACTAGGGCTCGTTTAAAAGAGCTTTTCTTCCTTAATGATCTCCAGTATAAATTTTGTTTCCATAATTTTTTTCATGGTAGCTAGAGGGCGCTGTTTGACATCATAACAGATATTGCGCTTTTGCATAAAAAAAATTAAATAGAAGGCTATATTTCTCTTTGCACCAAGTTACCTCTTTTTGTTTCCTAGCCTACTACTATAATTTTTAGACTATATAATCCTAAGCAGGAACCTAACACGATTTGTTCTCTTAATCTCCGGTTAGAGAGAAGATAGAGAGTTGCTGTTTGCGCTGATATTTTGGGAATTTTGTGCTCTATTTAACTGTGCAAAGAGAAATATAGCCTCCTATTTAATTTTTTATGCAAAAGCGCAATATCTGTTATGATGTCAAACAGCGCCCTCTAGCTATCACGAAAAAAAATATGGAAACAAAATTTATACTGCAGATCATTAAGGAAGAAAAGCTCTTTTAAACGCGCTCTAGTTTGTTTAAATCGGGTAACCCAAACCAGAGTTATCTTTATTTTAATAAAAGCAAATTTAACGTTCCCCCACCACTTTATTTGATGAGATGAGCAAAATACTCTATATCAAAAAAATTACAAATTTCTCGATGATTACAATAGTAATATTTAAAATACCTGTTCAACTGCATATTTTTTAGAAAACCCCTGTTTTCTGATTGGCTCATCAGAGAAACGCCCTCTAGCAGACATTTTTCGAAGTTGAAAATAATTTCCAGTGATTTCTCTTGGTCTGTCTTTGAAAAATCATATGTTATTGTCTGTTGGGCAGTTACTCTAGCAGAGATGGTTTTAAGTCCAAAAGTTGATCTCTACCATGATCAATGAAAGCCGCAATAGCCGATACTTCAAAACTTAAAACCATCTTTACTAGAGTAAACGTCAAAAAACAATAATAACATGACTTTTCAATGACAGTGACATTACAAAAACAATAAACTCTATTTCATTTATAGTGTGAGGACCCAATATAGTAGTGAGGACCCAAAATTCAAAAGCGAATATTTCCAATAAAAATAAAGCTATTCAGATGAATCAAAAAACAAACTGTAAAGAAAAAACTATATGATACAATATACCTATATGATAAAATTATTTTTAAATTCCTTACTTTGTTAACACATTCCACAGAGTGTTTCAAACTTTCACAAAAATATGAACATTTTGTTTTCCTTCGTATAATTGATAGATGGAAATTTTCATTTTTAATTTAGAATGAGATACCAAAAAATCAAATAATTCAGCTACTTAGCTTGCTTAAAAAATCATCAAAATTGGCCCACTCGAACAAAATAAGTATATTAAACTTTAAAATATATCAAAATTTTAAGGTGCCCGTTTTTCGGGCATCTATCAACCATTTCAATATTAAAACTATAGTCAACATATAGTATTTGTAAATTTTTAAACGGTAATTCATTTTACAAGAATTTAAATAAACTGTTTTTTTTAATATCGGTTCGTTAATATTTTTATTAATTCTTATACGGGAAAAATGTATTGTTCAGATGGAAGTTGACGTCTGAATAATTCGCATTTATTTATTGAAAACCCTTCTCTAAAATGACATAAATTTTGTCCTCTACGAAAAGTAATCATGTTGCTTCCAGAAAGTGATATAAAATAATAACTGTTGACACAGCTATTACTTATTATAATTTTGGACAGATATTCACTCCTTCAAGTTAAATTTTAAAATTTCCCAAGAACTATCCATTATTTTCGCACTTTTCTAACACATCATACCACAGAAAATATCTTCTCTAAAACCTCAATTTCAAAACAGTGTTTAAATAATAATAAATTAAAATGGTTTATTAAAAAATCAAGAAAATTTACCTAGCATTGATCGTCCACGTAATCAGCACTATCAGTGCCAAAACCCTAAATCGCATACTGAAAAAGCCAAGGTGTAGACCTCATCGGACCAGCCGAATCACAAAACATCACTAACTATCACTAGAAAGTCGATCAAATTTGTACAAAACGTACCTAAACTGAATCACAATCACCCACTTTAACATTAAAATTAGATAAGAGTCATCAAAAATTATTGTCTATATTGGAAAAAATCGTCATAACATTTACAAATGCTATTTGTTTTGGAAAAAAAGTTCGGGTATTGCCTTTTTTAAATGTTTTGCAAAAATAATAGGTAGTACCGGACAGGTGAACGCCGCACAGCGAAGTAGTCGAGATAATTTTCGGTCCACACGATTGATGCTGCGAGATTGAAGATCAGGTAGTGTGTGAGCCTGACGTGTTTGTTCTGTTTTCAGTATCTCTTTTCACCGTGGTACTACCTGTGTGCGTGTGTGTGGAACCAATCGGGTGGAAGAGTACCCTTCTCTCTACGGATATTTATTTGTTGGTGGCTATTGAGGCAGGGTAGAAGGAAGGCTAGGTTAATTAATTTATTAAGATATATTTGCAAGTATATGATTTGATTGCAATAATCTACCCCTGTTGTTTCAAAGTGGTGTACTAGATAATCTTCCATTTGAAATAAAATTCTTATGTCGAAGTTTCATTTTCTATTTTTTCTGATTACCCAATTATGACATTTCGTATAGTAATATCTATATATTATCAAGCTAAAACTAAACATTCCAGGTTAAAGAATTATTTATTATTCAAGAGTAAATCTTTATAAAAGTGTCCCAAACTATTATTTGCATGCTTGATTGAGATAAAAAATAATCATTATTATATAGAAAAATATCATGGGAAGGCTGGAAGGAAACAATATGTTTTATGCGACGTTTCACGACTTTATTGTCGTTTTTTCATGCGCTCTTATTATATATTATAGTATTATTTCATGCTAAAATATAGCACATTTTTAATAAAAAATGTCTATACCTATGTGGCGGCTTCATTACTCCAAAAAAAATCCTTTATGGGTATTTCGCCACTGCACTGCAAGAAAATCTACAAAATAAAACAGTTATTTTTTGTAAACACTTCTGCGTTAAACCTAAACGGACGCTGCTTGTCAGAAGTTATGTTTACAGTAATACAAATTAGCCTAACTTCAAACTTTTAAACTTCAAAATTAACAATTACTACCTGATAACAATTACTTAATAAGGTAAAACCAAAAAGCCCCAAACTTTCTGTATGATTATTTTTAAATTTTACAACAATAACAATACACAATATATACAACTTATAATTCCATACATACGAGGCGTTTTGGAAAAAATAAGAAGGATAGGAAAACAATATAACATACGAACATCTTTCAAAACACAAAATACACTTAGATCCATTTTATCACATACTAAACCAATGAATACAGAACAACAAACAAAAAATGTCATATATACCAAATACTCTGTGAATGCGATAAATTTTACATTGGTGAAACATTTAGACCCTTAAATGTTAGAATTAAAGAACATAAAGATTATTTAAGAAAGGGAGATTTACAAAAATCTAAGATTTGTCAGCATTCATGGAACACAGGTCATAAAATAAATTTTAATAACTCCAAAATTATAATGAAAGAAGCGATAGCCTCTAAAAGGAAAATAAAAGAGGCTTTTTTAATTCAATCTAATAAAAATTAATGTATTGCTCATGCATCTGTAGATGTTAGTAATGTATAGCAATCGCTTCTTTGATTTTAAAGAACATAACATAAATAAACATAACATGCGTAAAATTTAAAAATAATCATACATAAAGTTTGGGGCTTTTTGGTTTTACCTTATTAATTGTATCAGGTAGTAACTGTTAATTTTGAAGTTTAACTTGATATAATGTCATTTTAACAGAACGTCAACGGTTTCTTGTAGACGTATCTGTTTTAAAAAAGTAAAGTGTTCTCGAATAGTTGAATTTAAATATTTTAAATAGTTTTTTTCATTATTCTTTGTATATTTTTTTGCTTCCAACGACGGAAAGAGATAACTTTCCGAAAGGTTAAGCATTTTTTTCTTTGTTAGGCAAATTTGTATTACTGTAAACATAACTTCTGACAAGCAGCGTCCGTTTAGGTTTAACGCAGAAGTGTTTACAAAAAATAACTATTTTATTTTGTAAATTTTCTTGCAGTGCAGTGGCGAAATACCCATAAAGGATTTTTAAGACACATTTTTAATATTACAACAAAATCAAATAAACATTTGCCTAGGACCTTTAGTACTCCACATCCCTACAAAAGTGATTAATGGCGCCTCCATCCGCTCTCACTAAAAAACACAAAACACAGACAATACGAGCAGAAAAAACGAGGTATTATTTACACGATGCAAACCGTTGTCAGTTTGATGTGTTATTGACTAGAGTCAAATTCTGGTATTCCATGGTTTACAGATGCTCTTAGAGCTATGAAGAGGGATAGAGATAAGGCTTTGGCAAAGTACAAGAAATCCAAATTACCTACTGATTGGGAGAATTATAAACTTTTTAGAAATATGTTTACCGTAGCTGTTAAAAAGGAAAAGAAGTGTTACTTCACAAATAAATATAATAATGGAAATTCTAAAGAATTATGGTCCCATTTAAAACTTATCGATTTGAAGTCTAGGAATAATAATTCCATACCAGCAGAAATAGCAAATGTTGAGCATATTAATAATTATTTTGTGGAATCCGTACCTAAATTACATGTAGACAATGATATTGTTTTGTTTTATAAACAAAACAATTTTGTGAACCACGAGTTTAATTTTCATGCAGTAGATGAGATTGAGATTTTAAGAATAATGTCTAACATAAAAACAACCGCAGTAGGCATTGATGGACTAAATATACTTTCGATAAATTTGTGTATACCTTTTCTTTTACCTTATATTACTGATATCATAAATTTTTGTATACATAATTCTGTATTTCCTAGTATGTGGAAGAGATCGTTGGTAGTTCCTCTGCCAAAAGTTCCATTAGTCGACTATTTAAATCAATTACGACCAATAAGTGTATTGCCCACTTTTTCGAAGATGTTAGAAAAAATATTACATAACCAATTAACTGCATACTCGACACAAAAGTGTGTAATTCCAACAAAACAATCGGGTTTTAAAAAGGATCATGGCTACAATACGGCATTGCTCAGCATTACGGATGAGATATTACAGGCATGGGATGAGGGCAAATTAACAGTATTGGTTTTGTTAGACTTTAGTAAAGCCTTTGACACTGAGTGTTGGACTTTCAGAACAGGCTGTTCACTTACTCAAAGAGTTTTTAAGACAGAAGTCAAGCAGTAACTTATGGCGGTAAACAATCTGCTTTCAAAGCAGTCACTAGCGGTGTCCCACAAGGCTAGATTTTGGGCCCTCTGTTATTTAGTATTTATACTTCTCATTTTCCGAATACATTACTGTCTAGCAAATATCACCTTTACGCTGACGATACAAAAATTTACTTGTCATTTCCTCATGAAGAAAGTATTCAAGCTATATCGGCATTAAATTATGATTTGAATCAATTTTCCCTCACGGCAAAAAGTCATGGTCTTTTTTTGAACCCTAAGAAGTCTGTTTTAGAGTTGCAGGATGTTGAAACTTTTTAAAATTAGTTTTTTTGTAATTATCTTAAATACCATTATTTTTTATTTGAAATTGCTGTAGGTTGGGCTAATATTAATAGTAACTAATATTAATAATATTTAATAATAAATTAGGTAAAACATATGATTTATTAATTTTATTTTTATTTTAATTTTATTAATTGTGATTAATAAAATTGAGAGAAATTGAGTTTATCTCATCAACAAATCAACAAAATATCAAGAGATAACTTTTAATTGGCATTATACGGCCTATACAATTTTGATATCAAAAGAAAAAAGTCAGTGACGCACATGCTTTTTTGAAAAATATTTCAGTGATAACCCATATGCACGTCCCTGATGAATTTATCGACACTTTTTTAGCATTAAAATATGTAGCACTTATAGTAATTTTTACCCACAAAATTTCATTGGACTCATTAAAAGTACTTGGAAGTAAATTATAATAAATCGAAAAAATATTTACTTTAACACCTTGTAACTACGAAACAAAGCCGAATCGGACCTATGTCAATATGAAAAATAAATCTTATTTTTACGCGAGGAATCTCCCCACGAGAGATGGCACATGTCTTTTGAAACACGCTATATAATAGGCGTATCTGCCTGTAAGTGTTATAAATAAATCTGCCTGTAAGTGTTAATAATAGTTGTATGAAGATATTTGAAATAGAAATATTTTTTTAAAATTTTTCTTTGTTATTTGTGTTTTTTATACAGTATCTATGTCCCCGGATTTTCTTTACAAGAAGAAATGCTTTTTTATTATTGACATTTTGAGAAAAAAACGTATTTTTTATAAACATTTTTGGTTGTTCTAAAAATATTTTCAAGAAATGAACACGTCACAAAGTATATTACTAACATCCTCTTAATCTGGCCCGTGATATTCCTCTGTATAACAATTTACTTCCAAATTGTCATCATTTTCTCCAATCACATGTCCAAAGTACTTAATTATTTGTTGTTTTACTATGGCGGACGTCCTTTAGTTTGTATATAATTCTTCTAATATTGACACGTTTATTATAGAATAAACGCGTCAATATTAGAAGAATTATATACAAACTGAAGGAACAAACTAAAGGATTGCCAATTATATACAAACTAAAGGACTGCCAATGCATAGGCATTAGCAGTCAGGGGATTCTCAAGAACCATCTCCAAAATCCATTCTTACAATTCGAACGCATCAAGTTTGGTAATACCCACACTTTCATAGTTCGTGCTTCTGTTTGATATAATTCAAATGCGGAAAGACAAAAGTTATGTCGAGCTTACGCTTTGTGATTGATATTATTTGTTCATACTTCCAGATACAACTTTCTGCAATACAAAATATAGGGTATTTTTTACAAGTTTTTTTTTCTGTTTGTATACTCGAGTATTAAAGATGTTTTCTTTAATATCGTTAGTTCTGTTATCGTTATTAATGTACCGTGCTGGCAACTATTACTTTTGGGTCGGCATTTACATGTGTGGAAGTAAACCGCATAGGGATCTTATTAAGTCGGAGTGAGAGAAATGCGACCGACACCAACGCGACGCGCGACGGTGTGCTGTTGCGGCGTTGCCGATACGCCTTTCCCTTTTTTTTCCTTTTTTTTTTCTTTTTTTATTTTTAAAAGACTTTTTTTTCAAGAGATAACTAGATAAAATCATTAGGTTTGTAATGTTTCTGAGCATCTGAAATGGAATTATAAGGATATCGTTAG